AAAAAATAAAAATAAAAAAATAAAGATATCTTTAAAAACTTATTTTGCCCTTAAAATTTGTTTTCCCAAAAAAAGGTTGATATACCTTTACTTTGTCAATTTTGCTGCAAACTGGCTGTTTCAAGGGTATTTTGAAAGGAATAATCAGTGTCTTAACTCAGTGATAAATACATATGGAATTCTTCTAACTGATATTGAACCTGAAATATCAACTATAATTATAATATGTGACAAACAGAAGAAGAATAATCCCACCTTGTCTCTATTAGGCCTTTTAAAAGCAATGAGATCAAGTGCATGTTTTGCCTGATTACTGTGATAGTTGGTGTGGTTTACACTTGTTTACAATGCATTTTACTACCATGAGTGTGGATTACAAAAGTGCCCAAAGTATATGAACCAAACATTTAAAACAAAATTGGCATATTAAAAATGAACTGCATCATGATTAAAAGTGCAGAACTTCAGCATACTCACAATTGTTAATGCAATCAGCATTCCAAGTACTTCCATTCTTGGCAAAGCTTACTAACACTAATGCCAGAAAACATTATTCTTTTTCAAAACATTAACTCCACATTCAAAATTCTGATAGTGTTGAGCCTTAAAATCTCTTGGCATGGGTTTTAACAATTCATTGGTTAATGAAAAAAACTGAGTTGGATAAACTAAAACTACTCAGCTATTTCAGTCACACATGTAATTGTTAGAGCTGTCATATATGGGGATTTCAAAGAGGTATTCCAGAACATACATTCTCCACTGCTGCCCTTGGGCAGGCACTTTGTGCCATCACCACCAGCCCAGACAAGTGTTATGGATCCTGGAGACCCTGCACTACTAGGGCTCTCCCTCCATGGTCATGCCAGGTCCTGTAGCTACACTGGCTGCAGAGTAACCTCCCGCTCTCCCAGGGACCTGGGCAACAGCCCCACAGGAATGCCCACCCCCAGCTGGACACAGGATGACAAAGCACTTGTCCCTCCCTCCTCCTCCTTCCTCCTCCTTTGCAGATGCCTGCACTCCTTAGGGAAGTTCAAACTGGCCAGGGGACTATTTTAACTAAGTTAAAATATTGGTTTAGTTAGTATTTTTGGTCAAAGGAAATCTATTGTTTATTAACGTATCAACATCTGATTGTTAAAGAAAAAATAGAAAGTGGAGAGAAGATATAACAATACCCATAAGTAAAACTTCTAAAGTGTCACTTTAAGATTCTCCAGCAGTTTTTGGGGTGCCTGGGTGGCTCAGTCGGTTAAGTGTCTGACTTCACCTCAGGTCATGATCTTGTGGTTCGTGAGTTCAAGGCCCGTGTCAGGCTCTGTGCTGACAGCTTGGAGCCTGGAGTCTGCTTCGGATTCTATGTCTCCCACTCTCTCAGCCCCTACCCTGCTCACACTCTGTCTCTCTCAGACATAATAATAAACGTAAGAAGTAAACTTAAGAAAAAAAAGATTCTCCTGAAGTTATGTTGTCTTAGTTGATGCGAAGGTTTTTTTTCCCAATTGATATATTAGTGTATATTCAGGTTTTACCTAATAGTATATCATAAGCATCTTCCCATATTAATAGTCTTTTAAACAAATATGTGTTTAATATGCCAACTAACTGTAACATGTCTTAGTGAACTGATTCCTTATCATTGAACTTGTTGATTCACTTTTAAAAAAATCATTGATTCACTGAGTCGATCTACTACATTCATGTCACTGGATTCAATATTATAAGCACATAGATAGGAGTCAGTGGCTCCTCTCAGAATGCTTTTCAAAACTACAAAAGATACAAACATACACACAACACATATAGCATATGCATGTCTACACTTTCTATATGTGGCCCTGAGCATTTAATTAAAAAAAATATATTCTTACAGTACTGAAATATCCTAATTTTCTTTCCAGGTATTTCTTTTATTGCTGATTTCTGTAATCCTTGTCTATTGGGTTTGCCTTAGCACGACCGATCAGGAAATCTCTAAAGTAGCCACAGAAGAAAAATACTGAGCATCTTTAAATGTTTCATCTTAAGAACATCCCTAGCCAATTTGGGCACCTGGGTGGCTCAGTCAGTTAAGCCTCCAACTTCGGCTCAGGTCATGATCTCGTGGTTCGCGAGTTCGAGCCCTGCATCGGGCTCTGTGCTGACAGCTCAGAGCCTGGAGCCTGCTTCGGATTCTGTCTCCCTCTCTCTCTGCTCCTCTCCCATTTACATTCTGTCTCTCTTTCTCAAAAATAAATAAAGATTAAAAAAAAATCCCTAGCCAAAAACATTAACTACACCTGCATGTTAGACAAAACTGCTGTATGATGTAATACTGGGCTGAGACTTTGTTGTGGTTTTCTCTGAGGGGTGGTCCTGGGACAGAGAAGCAGACATCTGGAAACAGAGGTCTTAGAGCCACAAAGACATTGATATAAATCCTCCTCTCATCCCTTACTGAGCTGTGTGATTTTTGGCATGTTAGTCAAAAACAGAAAACAAAAATCCAACAAAAAACCCCAACTCATTGTGCTTCAGTTTCCCTACTTGTAGAAAGGAGGTAAGAAAATAACATTTACCTCCAAGGTGGATGTAAGCGTTCTAGAAAACCTATGTAAGGGTCAAGCATGTGCCTGGCACACAACAGACACTGAATATGCTTATTTCCACAATGAGCATATATTCTGTTTTTAAAAGATAAACCTAGGGGCGCCTGGGTGGCTCAGTCAGTTAAGCGGTCGACTTCGGCTCAGGTCATGATCTCGCGGTCTGTGAGTTCAAGCCCTGCGTCGGGCTCTGTGCTGACAGCTCAGAGCCTGGAGCCTGTTTCAGATTCTGCGTCTCCCTCTCTCTGACCCTCCCCTGTTCATGCTCTGTCTCTCCCTGTCTCAAAAATAAATAAAACATTTAAAAAAATTAAAAAAAAAAGATAAACCTAACCATATATAATAAAATATAAAGAGAAAATTTTATTTACTTGGCTTTACTGCTACAGGTGAATTGTAAGCCATTACTCATTTCCTAGTGAAGGGTCTAAGTCTTGAAAATTCAAGAGTCTAGAAATGTAGAGGTCGGTGCCCAGAGGCTGACCATGAGCACCTGGGAATCTACCTCCTAATATGTAGTTAATCCCATGCTTTTCCTCCTTTCTGTATATTCGTGAATACACATAGGAGATGATGAAGTAAAGTCACAGTGTGGGAAAGCCACTTCCACTCTCCAATCCTGCTCCGGAATGATTTGCTCCCCTTTCTAGTTCTTCTCACCTCGCCTCTGATTTGAGAGAGCCCCAAAACAACAGAGGACTACTCTGCTGCTCTGTCAGCAGGTGGAATTAACTGCTCACCTTTCAAGAAAGTAGATGTTCCCCTGGAGACACCAGTGTGGAAAAGCCGATTCTGGCCCTGCAGTGCTTTGCCTCACATTTTACAGGAGAGCTCTGACACTCCACCCTCTTCTCTGAATGTGAATGAAATTTCCTGGCTAATGAGGGTTTCCCTGAAGAGTGCTTCCAAAAAATAATACACATTTGGTCACCAGTAAGTGTTCCCAGGGGCCTTAAGCAACCCTGGAATTCTCATTTTTCCCATTTGAATCAAACTGTGGAGTTAAAAAGTTGCAACCAATCATATGAAATCAACTATCTTTACTTGGTCAGAGCAATTCAGTCATCATTAAAATAGACATAATATTCCCAGGGATACAAAAATCTTGGATTTTTCTTCCCCCCATGGGGGTTAGATAAACACACATATCTGAATGGTCTCCAGGCTAGTCTGGGCCTCCACGCTGGGAGGAGGGACCAGGAGAGAGGAAACACATCTGTGTGCAAAGGTAAATACAACATTGAAAGTTGTGTGTGTTTGAGACGTTGCCTGTAGAGCTAGTAGGTAGACAAAACTTGCATCATTTTTGGAGTTGTATGCATAGGGAATTTCAGAAAACCTCTAACCTCAATAGACCCTGTACATAAGATTCTGTCTTTGTTTTTGAATTGTCTAAATCCACACTGTTTCCTTGGGCTCAGGATCACAGGGTCACTGTTACAGTGACTGCAGACTCCAATGTACTAACCGCACACCACAAAGCACAAAAAAAGCTTAGTTCAAAAGATTATTTTGAAAACTGTCCTTTGCTTTTGCTGTTCCGTTACCCTGAAAACTCTGACCTCAGACATGCACGGTCCATTCCCTCGAGTCACTTGGGTCTCTGGTCAAATGTTCTCTTACTGGAGAAATCTTCCTGACCGTCCCTTGTGAAGTAGTAGAAACCCACTCAAAAACAGGCCCTGTATCACCTTAGGATGCCTTATTTTTCTTACTCTTATTTTTCTTTAAAAAAAAATTTTGTTTTTAAGTTTATTTGAGGGAGAGATGGAGAATGAGCAGGGGAGGGGCAGAGAGAGAGAGGGAGAGCAAGCATCCCAAGCAGGCTCTGTGTTGTAAGTACCAAGCCCGATGCCAGGCTTGAACTCATGAACTATGAGATCATGACCCGAGCCAAAACCAAGAGTTGGATGCTCAATTGACTGAGCCACCCAGGCTCCCCTCTTATTCTTATTTTTCTTTCTTCCTACCTCTCATATTACAGATGCATTTGATTTTCCACCTCCCCTCCCCGGCAATGCAAGCTCCATGAAAGGAGGAACTTTGTTTTTTCACTGCTATCTCCCACAGAGTTCGTGAATACCCCATTACTGTTCAATAAATATTTGCCACGTGAATGAATGACTTGTAGATGTTTTAGCCAAATCCCATACATCTCCAATTCTCTTCCCAGCAAGATATAAATGCAAACAAAGCTCCTGGAATACATGTAAGGCTAACACTAAATCTCCTTAGATGTCTTTGTTGCAACTTACAAAGCAAGTGTATCCATATGAGCTACGCTAAGAATTTACAAAAAGCAAGCTTCTCTTCTAATCTTCCCAGGCTATAATACTAATGAACACACAATTTGCCCTCCCTCTCAAGTTTCAAATCATTTCATGCTCACAGAAACCTACATATCTTTCTTACCATACTGATCGGAATTGGTGGTGAAGAGAAGGTAGTCAGAGGCACAGGTCTGGGATTCAATATCCAAATCTCCTAACCTCAGAATCAGTCTCTTCCCTTTTGGTACTCTGATAGTCTTTTCACAAACAGTGTGATTGGGGTAAGTCCCTGGATAATTCTTAGACGTCATTGTGCCGCTGTCCTGATAGGTCACTATGTGCCCACAGCCATCACCTGGTAAAGAAAAAAAAGAATGAAAGAAGTGAAATTAATTCTTATTGAGCATTGAGAGAGTCTAGTACAATCTCCAAGTCATGTATTTATTCCTTCTTTGCAGAGAGAGAAAAGCTAAAAAAAAAAAAAAAAAAAAAAAAAAAAAAAAAAAAAAAAAAAAAAAAAAAAAAAAAAAAAAAAAAAAAAAAAAAAGAAGAGGAAGAAGAAATTATTTACTATTTCAGGGTATTTCATCTGGTTTCCCAGTTTAATCTTCTGAATATTGATCAAAATGTTTCCGATACTAGAATGGAAAGCCCTTGGCAAACACATCATTTAATCACACTGCTTTTTCTAACCATCTATTTATCTACCCACTGAAACTTGCACAGTAGGCCCTCGGCACTCACACATTTGCCATTTGTGGCAACACCACGCAATAGTTTGTGATGGAGAAAATCTGACTTGCTTTAGAGGGTCGTCATACTGCTACACAAGAAAATGTGCTCCACACGCTGCTGGTAGAATCTGAGACCCAGGCTGAGAGGAGAGTGAGAACCTGTAGGATGCTAGCAGCCATTTGACATTCGCATCTCAGTTAATGGCAGTCACAGATGTGAAGGTTCCTGATAGACCCAGGATGTGTCATTAGAGATTGTCGAGGGTCTAGTGCATTGAGCGCTTGCCACGTAACTAGACCTGGTATTGTCAGAGACACAAAAAAAGCAGCAAGGGCAGCTTCGCAGAACTAAGAGCAAAACGGGAGACGGTCACATGTTCAACTAATGTAATACTAGGTGCTATGTGCCATATCTGGAACTTAAAGTGCTGAGGAAGGTAGGAGAGAATCGATTTCAGTGAATTATCACACTTCACTAAAATAAATTTTCTTAAGACTTTTCTGAGTAGGAAAAAACATCAATTGACCAACTCGTTGCTCCAGTAGATGAAAATGACTAAATCATTCACTCAGATATCTAAGTGCATGCACAATTGGGTGGGTTGCAAGGTAAATTAGCATACACTGCATTCAAATTGCAAAATTCCTGTGGTTAGTTTGGCTTCACATAAAAGCAAGAATTTCTGCCCTTAGCTGGAGGGAGAGAAAGCAGAAATTAACTGAAGGAATTCTCAGAGTAATAATAAAATGAGAGGCCTCTGCATCCCAAAGTCTCCCACAGAGAAGCCCCAACTTGAGCAGCCTTCTTCCTCCTCTAGCCTCTTCCTGAGCTAGAGGAGGATTGGCCTGGGGCCTTCCTTTATCCCACTCTCTTCTGACCCTGAGGCTCCCAGCCTAAATGATAATGGAGGCTCAGTTAAAAAAAAAAAAAGAAAAAGGGGGGGGAGGGGGAGGCACAGAACTCCAGAATCTACTCCATTTGTCAGCAGACAAGTCTAAGGAGAAGATCCACCCATAATCCAGAAACTGCCACAAAATTCCCAGGGCCCCAGACAGGCGGATGGATGGGGAGAGAAGAATTAACCTTACCAAGCGATGGGTCAGAGAAAACCAGCAGAAACACAGGTGGACACCAAGATAAACTACTATGAAACCTGGGCACCTAGGGAGAAGCTGTGCAATTTATCTGGAAGATGATAGAGACCCATACAAGTTTTTGAGAAAGGAGATAATGAAAGAAGTATTTGGAAAAAAGATAGTCTGGTTTGGCAATGCTACAGGAATTAGGATGTAAAGAGAATCTGGATCAGAGGAGCAGGACAAAGGCTAGGAATGGGGCAGCTAGAAAGGGAAGGGAAAGAAAAACAGATATTTACAAGAAAAAAAAAAAACTACTGGCCTTGAGTTTTGGCTACTTATAGTAGGAAAGACAAGAGGAGGGAGAAAAAAAACAACAACAAACCACTGAGATTCTGAGTCTAGAAATGACTGGAACACTGAGGCTAATATAAATAGAAAGAGAAGCCGAGAGAGAGAGAGAGAGAGAGAGAGAGAGAGCGAGCGAGCGAGAGCGCGCGCGAGCGAGCAGGTTTGGGGACAGACATTGTAAGTCTGGTTAAGGCTGAGGTGACAGCTCTATTTCTTGACATCTCTGGCAGTGAGCACAAAATAGTTAAAAATTAAATGAAAATTATACTAGAGTGAAGCATGTGGTGCAGAAGCACATAGTGAACAGGGCTTTGATTTAAAATTTGAATTATTTGCCTGCTTGTAAAGGCTTTGGTTTAAAAAATCCAATTTTGGGGAGTCTGGGGGGCTTAGTCAGGTAAGCGTTCAAGTTCAGCTCAGGTCACGATCTTGTGGTTTGGGAGTTCAAGCCCCGTGTCCGGCTCTCTACTGTCAGCTCAGAGCCTGCTTGGGATTCTCTGTCCCTCTCCCGACCACCCCCCCCACCTCTCTCTCTCTGCTTCCCCCACTGGCGCTCTGTCTCTCAAAAATAAACATACAAAATCAGTTTAAAAATCCAATTTACAGTTTCTCTTGAAAACTGGAAAGACATGGCAATCATGCCAGCAGGCATTCTTATGGGGCTAGTGACACAGTGGCTGCCCCTTTAAAGGAGACAGGTGCCCTAGCTCCCCACCAGACCCTGACTGCTCATTTCTAGAACATGTCCCACCTTGGGAGGCAATGATTTTGAGCATGCTGCTAGGGCAACACTAGGGAAGCTAGTGTACAAAAAATCATGCATACAAATATACACATAACTAACCCCCTCTATGCCGCCAAGAGTTCACCTGGTCAAACATGTCAATGCCTTTTACTACTATGAAATTCTCTGCTTTAATAAGAAAAGAAAAAGCGAACTCTTTTGGAAAACACAACTAAAAAATATAAAATGAAGGGTAATTATATGTGAATCAACTTTCATATCATTATTGTATTCTTGATTTTAAGTGACATGTCATGACAAAGGAAAATCCCAGGGTATCACGTTTATCCAACCCTGTAATTACACTTCTTACCAATCACTTTCACTCTAAAGCCCAAGAGGAAGCTAATTTTACCGGGTGATACGGGGCAGAAAGTGAGCAGGTTTGTCTCCAACACTCCCCTCGTTATTCTGCCTGGGGGATCTGTGCCTCCTTGGAAAAATTTCTCTTTTCCATTAACTATCAGAATGAAACTCTAGGAGTCTTTGTTCTGCCAAAAAAAAAAAAAAAAAAAAAAAAAACCAACCCTGAAAGGAGCTGCTGAGTCCTAATTCGTTAAAAAGCAAGCTGTCATTAGAAGTTGTAATTTCACCTCTGCCTATGGACAGAGACTATTTCTAGAGTTTTCTGTGGCAAACACTAGTATAATACATTTATCCCAGGGTATTAACTACATCAGGAATTTTCACCCTATTGTCCTCCCATAGTGTGATTAAGAAAACTAGATAGAATAATAATACTGTAATACATACTTGAAAGTGGATGAGAGAGTAGATCTTAAATGTTCTCACCACAAAAAAAGAAATGGTAATTTTGTGAGGGGATCGAGGGGTTAGCTAACATTGTTGTGGTAATAATTTTGCAATATCGAAGTGTGTCAAATCAACACATTGTAGATTTGAACTAACACAATGTCATATATCAATTATATCTCAATAAAGCTGGAGGAAAAAGCACTAGAAATATGCCAAAGGGGAGAATAGAGAACTGGTAGGGAGAGAAAATGGCTACCATATCATGGATTGTATAAGGCAGATTCATGCAAATAATCAACAATAGAGAAACAATATTCCCATGACCTCATCCTAACACTCTGGTAGTTTAACTCATCACCTGACTGTAGTTAAGAATCACTGACAGGGAAGACAACAAAAATTATTTAAAAATCTATCAGTCTTTGTTCCATTTCTTGTGTGTCAATGTCAATTTCCTGGTTGTGATTTGCAAGATGTTATCATTGAGGGTAACTAGGTAAAGGGTACAGGACATTTCTCTGTGTTATTTCTTGCAATTGTATATAATCTACAGTTATCTCAGAAAAAGTTTCATTAAAAAAATTGAAAAAAAATCTGTCAGTGTAGTTAATTTTGGCTGACGAGGGTAAAAATGAGGGGGCTTTCATTTTCTACTTTATACGTTTCTACACTATTTGGATTTTGTTATTCTGTATGTTTCTCCCATTTAAACTATGCTTAAATAAAATATACAAATTTACATTGAAAAAGTATATATGGAATGCCAACCAATAAAGGAGGCCACTTTTATTTGAAAATCTTTCTGTAACAAATTCATTACCCATCTTCCTCATATTTGTCTAAGGAGCATGGGGTGTTATGTCTGGGGCGGGGCGGGGCGGGGGGGGGG